CGCCGAAATTTACACAAATCACAGCGAAAAAGCACCAACAGCAACAACAGTCGGAGAAGTTGCAACCAAATTTGGCTGATGGAGACAAGTCAATGATGCAGCTGCAAATGCTGTATCGAATGGCCACCACTACTGCTCCAAGCACAACAACAACGGCACCAGTTACAAATTCAGGTACGGAGGCACCAATAACCATCGTCACACCGGTGCCATTTAAAGGAGGCCCTTCGAATTTAGGCGGCCCTGCGGGTTTTACGCCACGTCCGCCCGAGGAGTTGGCATTGCAAACTATTTCAGAACAGCAGAGTGAGAGGAAAACTGAGAGTGAAATAACAAAGGAATTGATGAATGTGAGCCTCGAGGAGGAAGAGTAACTCCTTTCCGGTTAGTTTCTGTTAAATTCGAAATCGTACAAATTTGTAAATATATACATACTTATATTTTGTAAAAAAAGATTAACTCCATTGTGAATAAAAATTAAGCAAAGTACACATGAAATTAAAGGAACAAAAATATAAAATATTTTAATATTAACCTCAAAATTTTACATAAAGTTTTGGTGCCATCTTTGCATGCTCAGAGTGTTCATCGGAAGTGTTGAGGAAATATGGGCCAGTATGTTTAAAGCTTAGTCCTGCGAAGGCAGCCTAGGTGAGGAGGTCATCCCCAAATAGCTATGGAAACGATGTTAAGTCCGACCGCCTATTGTGCAGTGCTCTGTTCAGCAGCATCCATTTCAGAAGATACGACCTCAAAGATATCCTGCCAACTAATTCACTATCACTGAGTCCGGGAAGTCTTTCGAATGACAATTGTCAATTCTGGCTATTATCTTGAAAAATTCTATTCTAATTGAAAGATTTGCTAACGATGTGGCCAGTTTGTGTTCTAGCAAAATTTTCTAAAAATAAAAAAAAATAAAAAATATCTATACATATATGTTTTTTCCTTTTTAAATATTGTTTTAAACTAAGTAAAATTAAAAACCAAATTAAAAGAAAATTAAATTTAAAAAACCTAGTACTGCATACTAAGATGTTTCGGGCTCCGGCGAAGTCGATGAGCCTCAGTCCGTTATCGGACATTTCGTCGTGGAGGCATTGAAGTCGCCAAGTACGACTTTGATATCATGATGGGCGAAGTTCTTCTATGCGCTCATAGAAACTATCCTTGGACACATTGTCCTTCTCCTCCATCGGGGGATTGAGTACAGCAACTGTAGCTGTATACCCAGAACAATGACTATACCCTCGCTTAATAAAATTACGTTGTTCCTTTCAATCATATTTTATCGCATGCGGCGATCCTATTTTGAATTTTTATCGGCTTAAAGTTATCTCGAAACAAAATACTTCGGACAAATAAAACACGAAGTGTACAGAAAAAATTAGAAAGTCCCAAAATATCGCAATAGCTCTCTGGAAATAATGGGAATACCTCAAATAGTAAAAATGAAACATCCCTAAAAAGCTCTAAAAGTAAAAGTTGGTTTCAAAATTTCAGGCATCTGTTTGCATAAAAAAGCATAAAAA